GAAGATTCTTGCTGGAGGTTGTAGCTAATAAACATTGCTGGACTGAATTTACATGGTCTCTGGAAGTTCCTTGGGCTAGGCCTGACATGACGTTACTATAAGTTGTAACAGAAGCTATGGAGGTAGATGGAGGAACAAGAAAGGAGCTTCTGTGTTCACTGTCGACATTTGATTCTTCCTTTGTCTCAGTTCCATTATTTTTCCTCCCCATTCTATTATCTCTCCTTCTTTCAGTAAGTTTCACTGGTGGGGTCTTTATATTTCTCTCTCTCTGTGAGTGTGTGTTTGTGTGTTTACTTTGTTCTTTAATGTATTCAGCCATATGGCTTCGCTTCATTCTCTGCCGCCCACCATCTTCTGACTTTTCTGGTTATAATCTGACAAACAGCATTTTTTAATTTAATTTATTTAGAACTGTTATACTTACACTGATACATTATGCAAAGTTCCAGAATATGAAAACACATTCAATTCTTTAAAATGAATTTAATAAACCCTTTCCAAGAAAAGTAATAATCCAGACATCAGAGACTTGTGAGAACAATGACTGTGCTATTTTATTAACCAAAGAAGGCTGATATAATGCTTTCACGATCAAATTTTGTGTTCACATTGAAAAGAGGATATTTTTACTCCATAAATATTTTACTATGTTAACTGATGGCCATTAAAGGTCATGTCAGAGTGCAAAATTCCTACCAAAGATGATTTAGTTACAGGGTTTAAGCCGCTAGTAGCTACTTTCCAAATCCCATCCATTTCTAGAGGGCTTCTGTGACAATTCCTTGTGAATGTATATGCAGGTAGTCCCCAGGTTAAGGACATCCTGTTTATGGATGACCCATAGTTAAGAACAGAGCCTATTCTAGCAAAATTCAAGTTAAATACAGAATGGTTTGAGTTCATTACACAATACAACTTATACAGTATTATACAATAATACTGCTCCAGCTTACATACAAATTCGACTTAAGGACAGACCTTGGGAAAGGAACTCGTTCTTAAACTGGGGACTACCCTTATCATAAAGACATTAGAGTGCCTTGCAACAGTGGTTCTCAGTACTTTTTTCTGAAATCAACTTGAGAATTGTAGGGGGTCTCATAAGACCATTGAAAAAACCCTTCTTTAGTTCTAAAGATGTATTTATTCATACTGTAATAACTTTTAGAGAGAGTTCATTACTGGCATAATCAGCAAAAGCAACCTTTTACTGGAAAATCACACACCGTA